TAGGGATTGTTTCATTCTTTGTACTTGCATCCTCAGTACTGAGGCTAGTGCCTGGCACATCAGTCTGTAGTGAAAGTTGGCTGATTTATTATTTGGAGTTCAGGAGACAGAAGAGGGCTAGATATATAAACTTTGGAGCAGGCCACAGGTTCCCCATCCCTACTTTGGAGTCATCGACATAGAAATAATTGAAACTATTAGACCTGATCAAATCACCAAATAATCATGAAAAGAGAAAAAAGAGAGCCTAGGACTGAGTCCTCTTGTATACATATACATAGGGAACAGGATGTGGGTGATGATTCTGCAGAGGAGACTGAGAAGTCAGAGAGGTAGGAGAAAAGGGAGAACAATGTCATGAAAATCCAAGGAAGAGAGAAGATCTGGAATACAAGGAGGATGTCAGCTAGAGAGGTAAAGAAGGATGAGAACTGAGAAAAGCCAACTAAGAAAATGTTTAACCTGAGAATGAGTATGAAGAGTTAATGGGAGGTAAGAAATAAGAAACAGTGATTATCGATAGCTCATTCTAGTTTAAGGATAACCTCCCTTTCCTACCTTATAGGCATTGTTCTTTATTTTCTCCTTTCCCTTCATGGCTCTCTGTCTTATAAACTTTGAGATATTACTTCTGAGTTAAATACTCCCCACTCCTTCTCCTTGTCTGGTAGCTGTCCACTAATTGCTACATTCTCTGCCATTCATTTCACTTTTCTATTTGTCTGATCAAATCTGATGAAATTGAGTATAGAAATTTAGTATCTATCAGCCTAGACTAGAGAGAAGGTCTCATGTAAATGGCTCTTTACAAAAAATAATTAATAAAAACTTACTTTGATATTTTGATTTGTGCCCTTGTATTAGTGCAGATAGCAACCCTTTCGTATGTCCAGCTCTAGATTTATGATCATATTTTCATTCTATATCTTTCAAAACATTCTTCATATAAGATCTGCCAAGTATGCTAGAGGCCTTGATGTGGTTCTTTTACTATTACAAGCATAACTTTTCTGGCTCTTGTGTGACCTCTCTTCATTTATGTCTTTATTGTGTAATCTTTGAGAGAAAGTAATCTTTGTTAATTGCTGTCCTTAGACCTACTTTGGCGCTTTTATTATTCTAATTTCACTGAATCCTGAAAAAATACAAAGCCTTTTCAGTGAACTCCATAGCCATTTGCTAGAGACAGGCCTAACCATTTGCTCTGGAAAGAAAAAAAATAGATGAAAATTACGTTATTGCCCAGCTGTATTAATACTGATGGACAGTTTCCCAGTCTGTTTTAGCTGCTTTGCATATTAGAAGTTTTCAAAGAGGAGGTAGCTTGAGCATGTATTCTGAAGGTAGGTCTCTAATAGGGGGTCCGTTTTTACCAATAGGATCTTAGATTAGAGCTAAAAAGATCCTTAGATACTATCTAATTCAAATGTTTTACATTTGGGGAAACTGAAACCCAGAGAGTTTGAGTGACTTGTTCAGTGTTACATAGAGAGTAAGTTGCAGAGCCCTGGGTTTCAAAGCCAGGTCCTTTGACTTCAAGTCCAAGGAAAGGCTTTCATCTTGAAATGCCCAGGTTCAAGGTGGAAGAGAGGAAAAGGCAGAGTATATATCCACGTCTCAATACTAAAGGTGAACAATACAATTGGATCTCAGTTGCTGGGGGTGGGGGAAGGTGGTTGCTAGGTCTTGATTGCAGTTTATCTTAAGGCCACAGGAGAAGGAGAACAGAGATGGAAGCCTTTGAAAGGCTTTCCTCAAGACTTAATACCTTAGATTGCCAAGCTCTTAGTATTTTGCCTAGTATCTTTCACATCAGAGCTTCTAAGAGACAAATATGAGGGTTAGCAATTTTATAAAGAAGAGTGTAGTTTCTTGTTTGTCTGTTTGGTCTCCTATCTTTGATTATACCATTAGGGAACTGCTAGGACTGACTTTTGAGGCCCAGGTGGCTATGGCATGGGTAGAAGTTTCCAGAATGGAAAAGTGTAGCAAAGGAAGGTAGTAGAATTTAGATCATAGCCAACTTGTTGCACACTAGATTTATGGATCCAAGAGTCCCTAAAGCAGATGTGTTTTGACTTTTTCAAATGGGAAATTATTAAGCTATTAGTCCATCAATGAGTTGGGTTCAGAGTTGAATCAGGAGAAATTGTACTCTTGAACAGTTTTACTATTTGAAGTCATATCATACTTGGGTCTACCCCAATCTTTCTTATAAGGTATCTAATTACTAGTAACAATCTTAGAAATAGGTTTTACATTTTACATACATAAAAGGTAAACATTTTATCCTTATTGAGTCCTTTGTAATTGGTCATTGGCATGTACCTTATATTTTTCTTGGCTCTTGTATGTCAAATCTTCTATCGAGTTCAGGTTTTTTTTTTTTCATAACAAAGTCCTGAAAGTCTGACAATTCATTAAGTATTCTTTCTTTTTTCCCATTCAGAATTATGCTTAGCTTTGCTGGGTATGATATTTTTGGCCAGAAGCTCAGCTCTTTTGCTCTTTGATATATAGTGTTCCAAGATCTGAGATCTTTTAGTGTCGCCACTGCTAGGTCTTGTGTGATTCTAATTGTAGTACTGCCATACGTAAATTGTTTTTTTCTTGTTGCTCATAATATTTTGTCCTTGATCTGGGGATTTCAGGATTTGACTATAATATTTCTCCCACTCTCCCTCCCCAAGATGGTATGAAATCTGATATAGCCTCTACATGTACATTTCTATTAAACGTATTTTCACATTAGTCATGTTGTAAAAAAGAATTAGAAGCAATAGGAGGAACCACAGGAAAGAAGAAACAAAACAAAACAGAAGAAAAAAAAGAGCAAATAGTATGTTTAGATCTAGCAGGTTTACTCTTGATCTGTACAGGAACAGAGACATAATGAGAAGTTAACAAATTTATTCTTCTTTTCAGTGGGTTTCTGATAATGCGAGCACCAACTCCTACAGCTTCCCCTAATTACTCTTCTCGAAGGGGCAGGCAAGAGTAGTAGGAGTACAACTCCTACAGGATCCCCTGAGTCTCAATGGGGGGCCAATCAAGACAAGCACACACATTCACAAATCCTCCCAAGCCTTGATGGAGGCTGAACAAGGCACACACAGCATTCCAGCTTGTGCGTTCCCCCCTGAGCCTCAATGGAGGCTGTTTGAGGCAAGCACATCATTACACTGTCACATTTCCCCCAAGCCTTGATAGGGGCAGGTCAAGGCACACACAGCTTTCAGCTGGCATATTCCCCAAATCCTCCACTTACTGACCAGTGCTCACTTGATTTATAGAGGAGCACACAAAGAAGGCAATTTGCCAGCAATAATTTCACAAGTTTGCAATAACTTTGGCTGATATCATGATGACTTAGCACAGCACAAGTGCAGTGGATGTTTACAATTTAAGCACAAATGTTTGTTTACATTATCTCATGGTTATATCTCACTGCACAGACTCAGTAGAAATTATTTACAAGCCATGAGCCTGGGAACTAATAGATTGTTATGGCCATGAATCCTGGGAACTATTATCTAAAAGAGAATAACAAAATCTACCTTACATACTCTCTTATTTTAAATAGTAGTTGCCAAATCTTGTATAATGCTAACTATATTTCATTGAATTCTTTCTTTCTGGCTGTGTGCAGTATTTTTCCTTTGATTTTGGTGATGACATTTCTGGGAGTTTTCCATTTGATTATTTTCATTTATTATTTCTTGAAGTATGGTATTTAGCTTTTTTGTTTGGTCATGGTTTGGGGGGAAAACCAATGATTTTCTTTTATTTTTTTTCTAGCCTTTTGTTTTTGTCTAATATTTCTTGTCTCCTGGAGTCATTGAGTTCTATTTATTCTATTTTAATTTCTAGAGGATCTGTTACTTGTACAAGGTTTTCTGCTTTCTTTTCCAAATTATACATTTTCCTTCCAATTCTTTCCTCTACAGTTCTTATTTCATTTATGATTTGATTTGATTTTAATCTTGCTTTATTTCTTACAAGTACTAACACAATTCTTGTGGCCAAGCTGTATTATTATTATTATTATTATTATTTGAAGCTCTGATTATAGTTTAGGAATTACTGCCTTATTCTGGTTGTATGTGTTAGTCATCTTTTGATTCATAATATTTCTTCATAGTATTCATTGTCTTCTTACTCGTAACTCCAATCTCAGTCTCTGATTTGGGATTTTGTCCCAGGTCCAAGCTTTGCTTTCTTTTCCGTTGCCCAGATCTTTCACCCAAAATGGTATGGTTTTGGTCCCTCTGAAATGATTCTGTTTTGTGTTGGTAGGATCCTGGCTTGTTGACCTACTTATGTCCTGGTTTTATTCATGTGGAAGAACTGGATTTTCATATTGCCATCTTTAACAGGAAATGATCTTGTTTAAACACCTTTCACAACTCATTGATGTGTTTAGCTCACATTGATATTTTTTTTCTCTTTTGAATTTTGACTCCAAAAAGTGACCTTGAAATGCCAGATCTGCCAAGTGTCAGAATTTGTCATTTTGCCAAATGAACTTTTTATTAAAAGTGAAAGTCCTACTTTTTTTTATCTGCTTAGTTACCTTTGGAATCAATTATACTATAAGTTTATCATACATAAAACTGTATTGCAGATAATATCGCATGGTAGATTTTATTTTTTCATAGTGACTATCTTCAGCTTCATTTATGATAGATTGTCTTGTTAGTGTGATGGCAGGGTTGGGAAATTACAACGTATTTTGGAGGAATGGTGAGAATGTACCTTGGAATCAGCTTCCTTTTTTTTTTATTAAACAAATTTATGTAACTTGGCTTTAACTTTTTATATTTGGAAAGTAAAAGACCATATTTGTTAATGGCTCTTTTCTAAGTATTCTTTAGTTTAATAATCTTCGGAATTAGATAAATTTAACATTATTTTAGAGGTTCTCAGAAGAAATTACACTTTGGCGTTCAGTTACTTACATTTTCTTTGATTATATTTAATGACTTTCATTTTTTCTTTAGCTTCATAATGAAGATGATAATTCAGAATCACCTGCTGTTGAGCCACCATCACCCTCAACACAGATAGCACGAACTTCTTCTGGACCTGTACTTGAACCTGAGACTTCTCCTCCACCTTACAGTAGCATTACTGTGGAAGCAGCTGCGACTGCAGGTGATTTAAGAATTTTTATGTTTATCTCTGATTAGGTATATTTAGCTTTTATGAGACAGGGGAAATGTACGCTTGTATACAGAATCCCATTTTTTAAAAAAAGATTTTATTGGTAGTTGGTGGTTGTATAACTTTTTCTGCTGTATGCTTAGGATAATAATTGTTTGGTTTGAAGCTATGAATTTTTGAGTTTATTGCTGTTTGCAACTCTTTTGCTTTACTTCTCTGACTGTATCTTTTTTCCAGAAAGGAACAACTTAATATGTTGTTTGTGTATCTGGTTGTTCTTTCTGTTGCAACTTTGTGGCATTTCATGTATGATGGTCACATGAAATGTAACAGTGTAAGTGATTCCTAGGGAGGCCCCAGAGTGCTGTGGGTAGCATAGAACATGCTATCATACTTTACTTTCCCTAAAGCCATACCTTCCTGATTATTCTATTTTTGTACTTTTTTCAGAATTTTCTCATTTTATGTATTTGTCAAAAAATTATTTACTATTTCCAACCTTTATCCTAGACAATATTCTGTGTAGAATAGTTCTATTTTGCCATCAGATTGTCTTACTTTCATTGTCAAATCGCTCTTAAAAATCATCTCCTTTAACTTTCTCTGACTGACTCATTGCCTAAATGCTTAGACCTTTGCCTGTTCATAATTTTGCTTTCTTAATCGTTATACTTGCTCTGTATGTATGAGAGCTGAAAAAGTTATCTAGTTAAGTCATAATTGACATATAGTCCTTTAAAATTTGCGAAGCACTTCATAGTAATTACTCCCATTTTCCAGAAGGAAAGACTTCTGTGATAAAGTAACAGAAAATATTGGCTCTGGAGCTAGAGTACCTAGATTTAAATCCCTTGACCTTCTGTAAGTCATTTGACTTTCTTGTACTTCAGTTTTCTTATCTGTAAAACAAGAGTGTTAAATTAGATAGGGAAAGGCCTTCCAACTCTATGATACTAAACTTCCTGAGAGAAGAGATGTATCTAACCTCGCAGAGTCTGAGTTTGAACAAAAATCTTCAATGCATGTTGCTTCCATGTCTTGTTAATCTGCATGCATCGTTATTGCTTGTCCTTGACTGGGCCTCTTTATTTGCTAGATATAAAACCTGGCACACTGTCAGGTTTAAGGATTTAAGGATTGCTTTTTTGTTTGTGGTAGCAAAATATTTTTCTTAAAATTTTATAGTTATCCATGCTAAATATTCTTCTTTGTGTTGTAGAATTTTTTCCTCATACTGGGGTTTAGTGGAAAGAGTGTTGAATTTGGCCAAGTGTGGTGGAATACTCGGGCAATCCCTAGCACTTGCGGAGGCTGAGGCTGGCAGAGCTCTTGAGATTGGGAGTGCAAAGCTGCAGAGAGTTTTGCCTATCAGTTGCCCACACTAAGTTCTGCATTAATATGGTGAGCCCTCAGGAAGGGTGCTGGTTGCCTAAGGAAGGACAAACTGACCTAGATTAGAAAAGGAGCAGGTGAAAGCTCTCATGCTGATTAGAGTGGGATTGTACCTGTGAGTAGTCCTTGCACTTCTAGCCAATGCCAGATAGGTAGAACCTAGTACTTATGTTGTTGGTGGTGGGTTTTTTTAAAAATTGTTTTGGTTTGTAGGTAGAGGACCTGGGTTTGAATCCTGGCTCTTCTACTTGCTACTTGAGGACCTTGGACAAGTCATTTTATCTCTCTGGATTTTAGTTTTCTCAATTACAACATCAAGTGGTTGAATTAGTTAACCTTTAAGGTTCCTTCCAGCCCTGAATTGGTGAATGTATAGGCATGGTTTTCATTTGACTTTCTCTGATGACACAATAAAGTTGATTTTCAGGTCACCTTGAATAGAGAGAAAACCTTTTTAACTCTTTTGAAGTCATTGTAGTTTAGATGATGGTAAATGCTTATTTAAAGTCCTGTATTCTCAATTCCATTACACTGGCATAGAATATATCACATTACTTTATTCAAGGATGATTATGAATCTTAAATGCTGAATAGTTGTAATGAGAATAAAAATTGCTGATAATATCTAATATATACATCTGTCAACAGTATCTGTACTTATTCCTTTTCATTCTTGATGTGTTATGAATTTCTAAGTCTGAGTTGGTGGCATTTTTATACTGAAGAAAGAATAATTTTTTAAAAAAAGAAAAGAATAAAGTCTGGAAAAGTAGGGTTAAATCCTCCTGCTGTTTCCAACACATTTCTTGTGGTGTAATCTCAATTGATTTTCTCTTAGTCCATTTTAAGAAAAATGTCAAAGGTTTGGTTTTTTTCTTAGACATTTGTTTTGTATGTTATTTCTGCTCATCCTTCCCCTCTCAATTTTACTTTAACCAAACCTTCTTTGATTATACCTATACTCTTTAGTTTTTTTTTAATTTAATGATCCATTACAATATTCATTTAGTAGAACCTTTTTTTTTCAAAGATAAGCAAAATGAATACTTTTGGACTTCTTAGGGCTAAATGTTCTTCCAGAGTTGTTTATAAATCTGGAGCTTATTGTTGAGTCTTGACCCCTTTTGGGGTTTTCTTAAGAGAGGTACTGGAGTGGTTTGCTGCTTCCTTTGCCAGCTCATTTTACAGATGAGAAACTGAGGCAAACAGGGTTAAATGACTTACCCAGGGTCACACAGCTAGTAAGTGTCTAAGGCCCAATTTAAACTTAGGTCTTCCTGACTCCAGGGGCAGCAGTCTATCCATTATGACATCAAACTGCCCCACTAAGACTGGAACTAGTTTTATTTTAATGACTCAGGTTTTGGTTGATTCATTGCTTTTCTTTTCACAATTTTATTTTTGTATTCTTTCATTGTTTTTTTTCCTCCCCAAAATTTATCCGCAAACTACTAAGCATATTTTACTTTGTAAATATCTTTTAGGCAATTGCAGTAATACTTTTAGAATAGACAGAATTAAAAGTGGCAATAACCTGCATTCACTTGACTACTACAGTACATTTCAGGGAAGCACTAATTAGTAGGAGCTTTAAAACAATGTGAGTAAATAAAAAAACTGACATTCTCCCTAATTTGAGCACCTGATGAAAATTTTGATGCATTTGTTTTCCCAAGTCCCACTCTCTCACTCCCATGCACAATTTGCCGTTGTATTTTAGGGGTTCTGTGCTGATTACTCAGGAAATGTCCCCGAAAACAGGAATCGTAGTCTTCTAGATTACTCTAAAATGGACATAATGTTTTGTGCCCAGGTCATTGAATAATTGGTGTAGACAAACTAGGAACATATACTGTTGTGGATCTGTGATCTGATAGATGAAAGTACTTTCCATTGGTGCAGTTCACAACTCAATCATACCTTTTTATCTTATATGATTTTTGTTCATGTCCTTCCAAAACTCCTCCATAGATCTCTCCCCAAGAATATTGTAAATACAACTGAGGTCGTGGTTTCCAAGCATTGTTTTATTGTTGTTACAATTACTGTTATAGTTGTCCTTTCACAAAAGGTAGGCTCGGTATCAAAATTATGATGGAAATTTCCTGTTTTACTATATGGCATAAAGTACTGTTGGTATGGTGAGGTAGTGAGTTTACAATGAAAAACTCATTGTTCAATAGTAAGGTGGGGTTGGTGAAGTTAACTCCTTAAGTTCCTTTCTGTTGAACAATTTAACACTTCTGTGCCTGAATTTACAGTCATTAAAAAAAAAAAGGAATTGTAAACTACCATTACATTATTAGAAATAGTAGAACCTTGTGGATTTGTACAATGCATTTTCTGAAGCACTTGATTCTTAGAATTTCCTAATAAGATAGAAGGAAAGCAGGTGGTAAAATAAAACCATATGCTTTTTAAAATGCTGAAGTGATTTAATTTAATTTATTTATTTATATTTTTTAGGCAATTGAGGTTAAGTGACTTGCCTAGGGTCACGTAGCTAGTAAGTAAGCATCAGGTGTCTGGTCTGAGGCTGGATTTGAATTGAGGTCCTCCTGACTGCAGGGCCGGTGTTCTAGCCACTATGCCACCGATTTTATGGTTTTTTATTTGTCATTCCCCCCTCCCCTCTCCTCAGTCGATTATGTTTCATCACACCTAACAAGAAAGATCAGGGATATTATCCTCATAAGATGTCCACTTCAAGGAATATACCTTACTTTTGAGAATGTAGCAAGCCTCCTCAAATGTTAAACACCAATTGTATCTGTTATATTTTCAAGTCTGGGTTTTTTTGAGTAAATTTTAGTGAGATTGCCATGAGGGTCATAGTCTTTAGTTTCCTCAGACTAATGTACAGATATTGACACATTAACATATAGTATTACATAAGCTCTAGAAATCTACGTGACTATTTTATTTTATTTTAGTTATCCCTCCCGCATTGTGACTTTCTCCATTGTGGTTTATATGTATCTATATCTATCTTTCTATCTATCTCTTTATTTTTCTTTCTCTCTATCTGTATATGGGGTCAGGATAAGAACTTACATGGGGATTTTTTTGGAGTTTTGTGGAAGCCTAAGACAACACGTGAAGGAAGGCCAGTAGATGACAAAGAAAAAGATTAGAAACACAGAAATGCGTATAGTATTGTATAATATCAACATATTTTATCTTTTAATACCATAAATATACACAATGTCTTTTTAAAAGTTGAAATAAGTAAAAATTTAAAGTTTGTGAAAAGAACATGAAAGCCAAGCAGATGACATGCAAAGGCTAGTATTTTTACTTAACATTGCCCTACATAGAGTCTATGACCAAATGCTTAACCCAAATTTTACAATAAAGTACTATAAATATTCCATGAAAGAAGAAGAAAAAAATCAGACTTCTTCTCTAGTCTGAAGGGAGAGCCAAAAAGTTTTACACAGATTTTCCAGATCATGGGAGCTCTATATCCCTAATCCTCTGCAATATGGAAGGGATAATTGTTATTTGGTACTTTTCCTTTCCTCCTTTTTCATTTTGCAGTCTAGCTTCTCACCTCATCATTCATCTGAAGCTGCTCTTTCCAAAGTTACTTTGTCTCTTAAATTTCCAAACTTAGTGGTGTTTTCTTAGGCCTCATTATTCTTGACCTCTTTGCAGCCTTTGACACTGTTAATGACCCTTTTCTCTTTAATACTCTCTTCTCTCTAGGTTCCTGTGATACTACTCTTATAGCCCAGTTTTCCTGTCTCTTTAGATTACTCCTCAATCTCTTTTGCTGGATCTTAATTTGGGTCACTCCTGCTAAAACAACCATCAAACAGTTATAAGGAAACTAAAGCCCAAATTCAGCTAATTATTGGCAAAACTGAAACCAGAATACAGGCTTCTTAACTCTCAGTCTGGTGTTATTTTTGCTGTGCTGTAATACTTACTAATATAAAAGATGCTGCAAAGATAATGATACATTTTATAATTGGAAAATGGACAGGGTGAAGTGCTTCTGGCATCTACTTTGTTTTTCATGCCTAAGATCCTAAAGTAAAAAGTCTAACACAGTTATTATAGATATTTAATATCATAATATCTCTTTGGAAAAATTAACATACAATAGCTGTTGTATATAATTTTTTTGTATATAGGCGCTACCTGATTTTTGAAATAATTCTTTCCTGGAAACACTAATTCAATAGATATTTATTACATATTAACATATATGCTAGATATTGGTCCCCATTTGGTCTTAGAAATCTAGGAAGAGGAGATAAAGCAATATAAAGTAAGACTATTTTAAGGTGCAGTCAGAATTCATAAGGAGAGGATGAATCACTTCTGGATGGAAAGACAAGGGAGAATGTAACATTTGTAGTAGGTTGAATTTTAGCTGGTAAGATAGAAGGTGGGTGTCATCTCACATCTAGGGAATAACATGAAGAAAGGTATATAGTTAGGAAGACTTGGAATGTTTTCAAGCACGTAGGCCAGTTTGGCTGGAATGTAGACTATGTGAGCAAGAGTCCTGTGAGATAAGGCTGCAAAAGGAGGTTGAAATTAGATTATGGAAGGGTTTGAATATCAGACTAAAGGATATAGATTTTGTTCAATACTTGGTGATGGGTCATTGAAGATTTTTCAGTAACAGAGTGTCATGACCAAAATTGTACATTAGGAAAATGAAATAGCATTTTTATAGACTGGATTGGAGGAGGATAGGCTATAGGATATTACTAGAAAGCAGAAGGGATTGGAGATATCATTTCGTCCAACTCCTTTATCTTTTAGATAAAGACCCTTAGCTGTAGACCACAGTTTCCTTGCTTACCAGTTTAGTATACTTTCTGTTGCCTCACTCTGCCTCTTTTATGGTAGCAGCAGTAGACTTGGAAAGCTTTAAATTAACTGTAAAATAGCTTTACAGATTAAAAAAAATTCAACTTTAAATGATTTTAGTTCCTTTTCCCCTTGGGCTACATAGCTATATAGATAATTTCTGTAAATTATCATTGAGGTGGAATTGGACAATGTACAAAATTGTACCATATGTATAAAAATGGTTTCACATACTTTGCCTTTCATGTTTATCTTTTTTCTTTTCCTTCAGAAACAGAAACTCACAGCGAATTTTATCCTGTGCCACCACCCTACAGTGTAGCTACCTCTCTTCCTACGTATGATGAAGCAGAGAAGGCCAAAGCTGCTGCAATGGCAGCTGCTGCAGCAGAAACATCTCTGAGAGTAAGAAAAATAATTATCACCCTTTCTAGAAATACAGTTTTTGTTTGCTTTTGGCCGTTCTGTCTCTCCTGCCTGGAATAGAATTGCCCCATTCTCCAGCTATCTTTAACGTTTGAATCCTTCCTTTTTTCCAGGATACCTTCTTTTATCCAGCTTGTGAGATCATTTCTTCTGCTTGAGAGTTCTCAGCACTTTTTCTGGACTCCTCCTTTGTGCTTATCACATTCTTTCTTGTATAATAGTTTTTGGTACATTTTTCTTACCTCTCACATTATATTTTAAACATTATGATATTATTTTTATATTTTCAGCACCTATTGTAGTGGATGCCTTGTATGATAAAATCATTTGACTTTGGATGACATTAAGGAAATAAGCAAGGGCAATCCATGCTTGTTTAGATCCATACTAGAGTTGAAGAGTAAATAGCCCATGTAATTTTAAGAATCTAACCTGATTAGGTCAAATATTCTAACACTATCTATCATTATTAAAAAACACTTAAGTTCCTATGTGTGATGCACTGCCCAGTGTTGTAGGAGGAGTTAGATATCAATCCATCCCCTAGTAGTTTACCATCTGGATAGACAGTACATTGATATGGGTGCACATTTATAGGATATATAGAGATTAAAAATTTAAAAATTTAATAGCTAGTAATATTACTAGTGATAGCTAGTAAGGTACATATGTTATATGTAGTTGAAGAGAATGATCTCAGAAGTTATCTCTAGCTCTGAATTGGTCAGGGTGGTGAATACTTTCATAATCCATTAAAACTTAGCGGTTGAAGGTGAAATTTCAGGAGCTGTTTAAATGCTTAGTGAAGTGGAGTGAGTTTTAGTAAAAGGTAGGATGTTGTAGTCATAAGGAGGTTTAGGGATTTGTGCTCAGGGTGAGCACAGGGAGTGGACTGTGTTACAGAAAAAGACAAATGAAATAAGACAGTCCAGGATGCTTTTGAAGTTACCTTTTAAGAGCTTAGACTTAGGAAAATGCAAAATAACAACAGAATTGTAATGTGTAATAGTTAAAGGAAAGATAAAATAACTGGCAGTAGCTGGAGGATAAGCTAAAGGCAAGCCATCTGGTAAGGGGGAGGCTACAGTACTCTAGGCAAGAGAGGACAAGTTTATAGGGCTTTGGTAGAGAAGAAAAGACAAATAAAGAGTGTAGGTTTTAAGTGAAAAAAAAAAGCAGCATAATTAGTTACCTAATTAGTTAGATAGCTGTAGGCTAATGATGATTCAAGGATCACTCTTAAATTCCTGACTTAGGGTGTGATAGTATTGCCTGTTGTGATGAAAAAGTTTGGCACAGGAATCAGTATCAAAGGAATATATGAGGTTAAATGTGTTGGTTTTTACATCCTAAGTTAATGATGAGATGGATAGTCCAAAATATAAAATGCTGTGGGCTCATGATGGAAAATTTGGGGGGGAGTGTGGTAGGCTAGCTCTGTTGTTCTTTCTTCTTGATGATGGTGTCTCATGGGTCTAGCAATGGAAAGAAAAAAACAAAATAGTTTCTGCCCTCAAGATGCTTTGATTTTTCAGTGGGATGCAGCATGTACATAGACATATAAATACAAGGAATTTTGTAAGAGAGAAGGAGAACATTAACAACTGGGGTGATCAAAGAAAGCTTAATGAAGATTAGTAGCACAGCCATGAAGACAAATAAGGATTTTGAGAGATGGAGGCGGGGAGAGGTATTGGGGAGGGGAGGTTAAGTTCGGGAATAGCCAATAATACAGTTTGACTAGAATGTTTAATGTATGAAGGGGAATAAGCTGAAATAAATCTGGAAAGTTAGGTTAAATGGCTTTAAGTGCCAGGCTGAGGAGTTTGTATTTTAACTTAAAACTAAAGGGAGCTACTAAGTGTTTTTGAGCAGGGGAGTGAAATGGTTAGACCTTCTGCCTTCAGGTGATTATTTTGGTAAGTGTGTGGAGGATGAATTGGAGAGGGGAGAGACTGAGAGGTAGTTTTGGCAGCTGTGTGGGAGAGGGAGAGATTAGAATCAAGGGAACCATTTAGGAACCCAAGCAACAATAGGTCTTTGCCGGAACTAGGTTTAGTTGCAGCAGTGTAGGGAAAGACAGAGGTGGATATGATAGATGTTATAGAGCTAGAAATCACAAGACTTGGAGATTGATTGAATGTGGCAGCAGAGGAAGACAAAAAGGTTGAAGTATGATGACTCAGATCTTATGAACTTGGATGATTAATAAATGTTTATTGAGTTGAACTGGATGACTTAGAAGGATAGTAGTACCTTCAACAAAGATTGGGAAGCTTATAAAATGATGGCAGCAGCACAAGGAAGACATTTGATTATTCTCCACAGAGAGAAAAAGTACCCATTTCTGACATATATTAGTGATGCCTCATCAGTTGTTCTGCTTCTTGAAGGGCCTAGAGCACTGATTATTCAAGTTAGGTGTGGTTGTACTTAGGGTTGGAATGCTTGTTTCTTGAAAAATGTAGCTCCTTGGGAATTTGAGCAAAGGACTTCATCCTTAGAAATGAAAGGATTTAATGATCATGTGTATGTATGTATATGAGAGTCAATAAACATTTATCAAGCGCCTATTATGTGTCAGGGACTGTGCTAAGTACTGGGGATACAAAGAGAGAGGCCAAAGACAGCTCCTATCCTCAAGGAGCTAACAATCTAATAGGGGAGACTTCAAACAAATTGAAGAGTAAGTAGCAGAGGAGGAGCAGTGTAAGAAGACTTGGGGGATGAGGATAGGGTATGAAAGGTTTTGAATGCCAAACAGAGGATTTTGTATTTGATCTTGGAGCCCTGGAAGTGATAGGGAACCACTGGATTATTGAATTTGGGGGTGACATGGCCAGACCCCAGCTTTAAGGAAAGCACTTAGGTGGCTGAATGAGGATACACTGGAGTGGAGAGACTGACAGACCAACCAGCAGACTATTTCAGAAGTCCAAGCATAGGGAGATTAGGGTGTGAGAGGGGAGAAAGAAACATAGTAGAGAGTTGTTGCAAAAGTGAACTTGACAGGCCTTGGCAACAGATTGGATGTAGGGGGTGAGAGATAGTGAGAAAATTGAAAATATCACCTATGCTGCAAGCTTGGGGGACTAGGAAGAGTGTAATGCCCTTGGTAGTAATAGGAAAAGGTTTAGGGACAAAGATGAATTCCATTTAAAATATGTTGAGTTTAATATATCTACTGGACATCCCCAGTCTGAGATGTCTAAAAGGGCAATTGGAGATGTAAGGCTGGAGGTCGGGTAAGGGCTGGGTAGGTAGATGTTAGAATCATCAGCATAGAGAGCTGATGAAATTACCAAGTGCAATAGTATAGGACAAGAGAAGCAGCCAGGAGAGAGCCCAGTGGGCCATCCAAGGTTAGTGTGCTTGACCTGAATTAGGATTCAGCAAAAGAGACTGAGCAGGAATGATCCAGATAGAGGTAAGAGGAGAACGAGGAGAGAGTGTTGACCAGAAAATCTAGAGAGGAGCATATCAAAGAGCAGAGGGTGGTCAACAGTGTCAAAAATTGTTGAGAAGTCAAGAATGAGGATTGAGAAAAGGCTATGAATTTGGCAGGTAGATCATGGGTAACTTTGAAGAGTTTGTAGGGGGTTAAGAAGAGAGTGAGAGGAGAGAAAGTGGAGGCACCTGTATGGGGTAGACTACCTCATTAAGGAGTTTAGCCACAAAGCCTGAAGAGAAAGAGGACAAAAGTAGGAATATAAAGTTCAAGTCAGGGCCTTTTCAGGATAAGGGAAACATGGGCATGTTTGTAAGCAGTAAGGTAGAATCCATTAGAGAGAGAGAGCGATCTGGAAGATAAGTCATCCAGGTGCTTGAATGTTGGTCCTCAGAAGAGATCTTCTTCTGCAGGCACAGGCATTTGGATTTTAACAAATTCAAGCTACATAAGGAATTTGAATTTAAACTAGGACCTCTTCCATCTCGACAAGTCTATGATTAATACACATTTTCTAGATTTATCTTCCATTGTTTTTTCAATTACTATTCTACCCACGAATGTTCATATTAATTTATGAGGTAGGGGCAAAGCAGTTTTGAGGAAGGAAATTTTAAAATTGGGCTAAATTTGTTGTTGAGTCGTTTTTTCATTCATGTTTGAGTCTCCGTGACCTCATTTGGGGTTTTCTTGGTAGAGATAGTGGAGTAGTTTGCCCTTTCCTTCTCCAGCTTATTTTACAGATGAGGAACTGAGGCAAATAGGCTAAGTGATTTGCCCAGGGTCACTTCTCAAGTAAGTGTCTGAGGCTGGATTTGAACTCACGAAAAGGAGTCTTCCTGACTCCAGGACTGGCACTCTATCCCCTGTGCCACCTAGCTGCCCTACTTTAGTTCACCACAGTTTTTATTCAGAATTTTAAGATAAAGTAAATAATTTCCAAGTCTTACATCATAATCCCAAATGAGAGAAGTGTCTGGTCTGTGTATGATGGGTAAAAAAGTAGTGCCTCAGCTAATCTTGAAAGTACTACTTTGGGAAGGATTTTCTAATTAAATTATGATGAAAAGATGTCTTGAGGTCTTGTTCTTTTGAATCTTTGTGAGATCTAAGTCTACATTTTTAAAATAAAGTATTCAAATGATCTGTTGATTACATGGAGGTACTTTGTATCAGTAAAAGTGACAGTGAGGCTGTTTTTAGTTTTAATAGCTTTATGCTGTTATCTAGTAGTAACAGTTGTCCTTTGTGCTCAAAGAGGGACAAAATGACATCACTATGTTGGGGTCAAGGTACAGTGTCCACCTGTGGCTGATCAGACTACTACAAGCTTCTAAGGCTCTATCACGGTTGGGTATAAATAGTTCATATATGCTATTATCTATATAGCCTATGTTATTATTTTTACATTTCTCTTAGAGATTTTTTTTGAATGGTCTTGACATTGTATTGATCACATTAAATGTCCCCCCCCCCGCCCCAAACAAACAAGCAAAAAACCTTCTACATTGCTAGATCTAAATTAACAATTATAGCAGCAGCTAGGCACAGTGGATAGAGCACCAGCCCAGGAGTCAGGAGAACCCAAGTTCAAATCTGGCTTCAGACACTTAATAGCTATGTGACCCTGGACAAGTCACTTAACCCTGATTGCCTCAAAAAAACCCACAACAACCAAAAAGATGAAAAATAAAACAGGGATTAATCTTACACTTAAAAGAAAGATTATATCCTTAAATTAGAACTCTTTGAGATTTGGAACTGCCATTTTTTTCCCTTACATCTACAGCTCTGAGCACAATCACTTTCACAGATAGGTGCTTAATAAATGTTGGAACTGTTGAATTTCATTCAGGTTTTTTGTCTCATATTGGTGAAAACACAGCTGTAGTATAAAAGTTTGTGGCATGCCTATATGTAAATTTGAAAAACCCTAATAGACTCCCTCAGGATTATAAAAGTAAACCCTGAAATTATATCTTCCCCAAAATATAAATATGAAGCAGTATGGTGGACTTGATAAAGGGGCTGGCTATTGAGCCAGAGACCAGGGTTTAAGTCACTGCCTCTGATGCATGCTAGCTTTATGAATGGGATTCTTTAACTCCTGTGAAAGAGGAAAACTTGTGTTAGAGAGTAGGAGATGAACTTATAGACCTTGTTGAAAACATGAATAATCTATTTTATATCATCTGAACTGACAGTGTGGAGAAGCAGCCATGGCTGTAGTGGTTAACTCTAAATTTAGAAAGCAATTAGACAGACATGTGTTTTCCCTGGAAGTCTTACTTATTCTCTTTCACATTCATATATCTTGCTATGTCAGCATGCTCCAAATGATTGGTAGCAAGAAGGTGGTCTCTTGGTGCTGGGAATAATATGCAAGCAGTGGATAATCAGAGTTCACCAACTGATAATTTGAAAGCCTCTTCTAAGCCATCCTTTTTCTGTAGTTGGTAATGTATGCCTTTTAAGAATTTACTGTTTTGAATTTTTTTTAAAATGTCTACTGATCTCTTAAATATACACTGTACCTGAAACATTCACTGTTTAATGGACACTATACTTCATTAAGAAGACCTAAATTCACATATGGGCTCAGATACTTAACTAGCTATGTGACCCTGGGCGAGTCACTTAACCTCTTTGCCTTAATCCACTGGAGAAAGAAATGGCAAACCACTTCAGTATCTTTGCTAAGTAAGCCTTATGGACGGCATTGGCAAGCAATGGTCCATAGGGTCATGAAGAGTCAGACACGACCAAACAACTGAACAACAATTCTTTATTAAATTTTTGATCTATATGAAATCTTTGTAGTAATTGTCTGGATAAATTTTTTTTAAAGTTAAATTTTAGAATTTAATATACTTTAATTTTTAAGGTTATATGTTTCTGTGGTACACAGTAATTAACATGTACATTTAAAGTATGAGGGGGAAAGGTAGCTCTCATTTTAAATATGAATTTAAAAATTTATATTTTTGAGTTTTAGACTATGGTAGTTCCAAGAAACTCCAAATGTTGACAATGTTTAGTGTATGTATTATGAGTAATTTTTACAGTTTTTAGTTTTCATCTTATATTTTTCTGTTTTATTGTTTTACATGCTTAGCACGGACAGTTTAGGGAGTCTAGGAGTCTATTTGATGAAATATTCCTGCACTCGCCAGAGGTATGGTACAGTTCTACATAGTTTAGACTTTATGATAATTTTTTTTCTGGCAAATAAATGTATTTTGTGTTTCAGTAATGTTGATCTTACCATAAAATATTCATTTACAGTTTTTTTATAATTTTGAATTGGCATTTGACCTCCTCAAAATTGTAAATTTTTATACAAAGTTGATCTTAATAGACTATTTTTGTTTCTTCTACTTAAAAACTGACCTCAGTTAAAGTTATATTAATAAAAATTATTGTATAAGTTCCTTGAAGACAGAGACAGTTATTTATCTTTATGTCCCAGTCTCCACCTTTAAGGCCCCTGCAGTCCTTCCTCTGCCGCATCATAATGAATCATACATCGTGGGTACTTTCTAAGTGTTAAATAAGAAAGAGAACCAAAATGCTCATGGAACTCATACCTTGGAAAGTAGGCCTTTTGTTTTCTGATTCTTTCCCCTACTGGTTTATGCTGAGGTATAGGCAATATATGAAAATAATGGTAATACAGGATCATGGATAATTTTTCAGTAGAAAATCCAGAGTTTATCCTTTATGGTCATTTAAAAAGACATGGTTATTAATTTTCAGCCAAAAATCATAAAAGTAATAACTTAGATCACCCAGATTCTTTACTATTCACATCCTAGTTACATTGATAGAAAGAATCAGCTTATTTGTAGACTAATAGGTATGATAAAATGGATTCAATATAGTTACCATCAAGCAAAATTTTCATCTGAAAAATTAACTTAAGTGTCTTAAATACAAAAAATAAGAGGAAGTAGATTTGTTATACAAATGGAAAAAGCCTTATCATGAATAATTACAAAGTGAAGTAAAACATATGATGTTATTTGATAGGTAGTGTTATATAGCTACAGAATTCTCTCTATATTTGAAAATACTTGTGGTTTTAGTTATGTGCTTACCTGCGTCCTGCATTTAATTGCCAAAATGATTTTCCTAAGATGCAAGTTCAGTCATGTCACCCTCTGCTCCAGTAAATGCCCGTACCTTCCTATCATGTCTAGGATCAAATATAATGTATTATGGCTTTCAAAGCTCTTCATAACTTACTCCCCCTGTTTTCTAGGCTTCTTATATCTTCCCCTCCCCCACTTCTAGCCCCCTCTTTGCTCCAGTGATGGCCTCCTTGCTGTTCTGTGAACAGGGCACTCTATCTCTTGCCTCTGAACATTTTCTCTGGCTGTTTGCTGTGCCTAGAATTCTCTGCCTCCTCATCCTTGGCTTCCTTCAAGTCCTAACTAAAATCCTACCTTCTTTAGGAAGCCTTTCCCAATTCCTCTTAATGCTACGTTTTTTATTGTTGTTGATTATTTTATATTCATCCTGTACATAGCTTGTTTGTACATAGTTGTTGCATGTCGTCTCCCCCATTTGATTGTAAGCTCATTGAGCCAGGGCTTAGCACAGTCCCTGGCACATAGTAGGCACTTAATAAATGTTTATTGACTGAGTAACTTACTGGCTTCACAAACCTTAAAAGACTGTATAAATATCAGCTATTGTTTATTATTATGATTGTTGTTGTTATTGTTGTAATCGTTGTGGTTGTCATTATTGAACCATGAAACTGTGAAAAACATTATAAGTAGTGTGTATCCTGTGAGAGTTCAAGGCTGAACTTTAGTGCTCATTGATCCTGACTTTAATTGGCTAACTTTCCTATCTTTTTCCCCGTCTTCTATTCCTTGATTCTGATCTTCATCTTATTAGGATCATAAAATCTAGAGCTGGAAGAGATGTTAGAAATTATCTAGACTGACACTTTCTTTTTAGAAAAAAATTAAGAGGCTAGAGAGGTTAAGTAAGTCTCCAAAAGTTAGGCAGTTAACAAATTGCAGAGCTGGGTTTCAAACTCCATTATTCCAATTCCATATTCAGTATTCTTGTTCATTGCTGCATCTTCAAGTTCATTTCCAGAAAAAATAGGCAACCTGATTTGGAAGGATTAAAGTGTAAAATGAGGACAAGTTAACAATACTAAGCCCCTCAGTCATTAGTTTTCTATCATCATGTATATGACTCTCCGTGTCCAGAGGATGTACAGAAGAATTTAATTTGATTACTTACTGAACTAGAATTTTAGTTTTAGATTGAGCAGAGCATTTTGTATGGAAATTTCTGACTTCAGACTTTTGTACAATTTTCCATGGAAAATGATCATCTAATTTAGATTGGTTTTGACTAAAGCCTTTTAGTCTATCCTTGCACACAACCACTCATTCTTTTATTGAAAGTATTGATTTATAATAGACACATTTTTCAAAAGGTTGATTTCTATTTGCAATCTCTGTTCAAAACTCTTTGGTGGGCTGGTTTTAAATAAAACATTTCAATATTAATTTGAAATAAAAATGAATATGTCAACAAAAGTCTAACAGTTTATTTTTCATCACTTTTAAGATGCATGATTCAGAACTAAAGTAAAGTTCTTTTTCCCTCCCTCCCTCTTAACCTTCAGGCTGTGATCAGAATGAGTCATTCTATATACCCTTTCCTCTAGAATCTTTGAGGCCTTACCCAGAAACATTTCCTCTGACACTGCATATCCCCTTCCCTTTTACATGGCCAGATATTATTTTGAAGCCCCCTTTAGGTCAAAGCTTATTGTAGCCAGAAATTGCAATTTGATGCAGAGAGAAGGTTTTCTGACTTGCCACTGGCAAGGAATTCTGTCCCATTGCTGTTCATGCTTTAGTGTTGTGTGAGTATAGGCTGGCTGTACTATAGCAGTACCTTAAATGCCTCCATGCATAGCTTTTGTGTATATACAGTTGAAAGTAGATAAAAGTGAAGCATAACAAAGTTCTCTCAAAAAGTGTCAGTCCTTTTTTTTTTCCTTTTACTGGTTGGTAGTAACACCCTCAAACACCCTGCCACTCCCCAATAAAAACCCAAAACCCAAACCAAATGAACCAGTCCTCAATAGTTAGGTAAAAGGAAGCTGCTGTTAAGAAAGTGCAATTGGCATTGGCTCTCTAGGACTGACTCAACTGGGGTATGACATTTCATGAGTAGAATTTCAAAAAGGGAGTGATTAGACTGGAGAGTATAAAACTTTAGATATAAAGATAGGTATATTGTGTATATAAACTTATGCATAGCTATTCATAATTAGCTGTGCATTTCCCTTGTCCTTTCTTTGCTACTAATTCATACCTTCTTTTGGAAGTAGTGATTAAAATAGTACCTTTATCCCCCATTCCCTTTTCTTTCCTGAGCAGGAAACCCCAGAATTTCAGATATACCTAAGAGACCATCCATCTTGTCCAACCAATGCCTGAAAAAAGAAGCCCCACTATAACTTACCTAACACATGTCATCTAGTTTTTTCTTAAATATCTATTGTGAAGGGGCAGCTAGGTAGTCCAGTGGTTAGAGCACCAGCCCTGGAGTGAGGAGGACCTGAGTTCAAATTTGGCCTCATAGACACTTGACATTTAATAGCTATGTGACCCTGGGCAAGTCACTTAACCCCATTGCCTTACCCCACCCCACACCTCCCCCCCCCAAATCTATTGTAAGAAAGAATCCATTTTTACCTGATATAGCATTTTTAGATTGGTCTAGTTCTTACTTAATTTAAGCCTAAATTTAGTTGATGTCTTTTCCTGGCTATATCTCCAGTGCCAAGGAGGACAATTCATTTTATAAAAACAATTTGAAACTTATTGATAGCTTTTGTTTTTACATCATCTTCATTTCTGAATATATCCCTCTTCCCTGACTTACCCAATGAGCCATTTCTTGTGACAGATTTTTAAAAAAGCATTTCAGCAAAACCAACCACATCATATTCCATACTCATAGTCCCCTATCTCTGCAGAGGAAAGAGAGGTCCATTTTCTAAGTTCTTCCTTGGGGCTTATCTTGCTCATTATAATTTCATCACCTTCAATTTTATGGTGATATTGTTTTCCATTTACATTGTTGTGAGCATTTCTGTAGTTCCTAATTATTCTTTTTATCTCTCTCATCTTCCCTCCCTAAAGCAAAGGTTTTACTAAGTCCCTCTCTGCTCAGTAAATTTGAGTGGTTCCCTTTTATCTCTAGGACCTAAAATAAATGCCTGTTAAGCATATAAATACCTTCATAACCTAGCTCCTCCACCCTACCTTTCCAGTCTTATTATACCTTTCTGGGCTTCTTGTTCCTCATGCACAGTGTTCTGTCTTCCATCTCCATGCCTTTGCATAGACTGTCTGTCCCCTGTTCCTGGAATACACTCCTTTCCTACTTCTGCTTCTTAGAATCAGTGGTTTTCTTCAAAATTTAGCTCAGTGCTATCCCCTACTTTGTTGATTAGCCCCTCAGATATTGATGTTTATTCATTTTGTATATGCTCATATGTTTATATTTTGTTTCTTTAGATTGGTTCATAAAGGTGGGGACTGTTTTAGTTATATCTTTGTATCCTCACTTTCTAGCACATAATAGTGTTTGATAAGTGCTTGTTGATTGATTTGTACTTCTGATTACTTCTTTCACATCTTCCCACATTTCTTTGAATTCTTTGTATTCATTATTTCTTATAGCACAGTAGTATTCTATTAATATTTATGTGCCATGACTTGTAGTGTAGTGTAGTGAATATTTTGATGTATGTGGAACTTTTCTTTGAAGCACAACAATTCTAAATTCTTGTGTAACCCTTCAGATACTCGTATCCTTCAATGTGAGTAAAAGTGAATTATTGGGCTGCCATAACACACCATATTGAGCTTGCATTGTAATAAAATCGTTAGTTTTTTTTTCAGACAAACCAGAGATGTGCCTTCTCCATCTTTCACCAGTGAAATTAATTTTTTTAAACTTAAGTATAAGACTTAAAAGTTTAATAGGACTAAATGTAATCTTGTTAAAATCAGCCTAATATTTATTTTGTCAAGAACTTTTAAAAATCTTAGAGTCATCTAACAGTGATAAATCTCTCCTAGCTTTGTTTCATTTTAATATTTCATAAGAGAAACATTGTAGCCAGGATGTTTGACGTACTTTGCTCTGGTTTTTCTTTGGATTTTATAATTAAGATAAGTAAGAAGACCATAATAGAGTACCTAGATGCTCTTGGTGAGTTCAAATCACCTAGTTTCAATGAACTATGTCCTCCCCAGTTACTGAAAGAATTGGCAGAGGTGATTGCTAAGTCATCCATATTTGAAAGATAGTGGTGAAACTAAGAAGTACCAAAAGACCAAAAAAGGGTAAATGTTCCAATTTTCAAAAAAATGGAAAGAGAATGGAATCTTATGGTTGTAAGCCAGTGAGTCTGACTTTGATTCCCTGCAAAATTTTAGAATGGATGATCAAAGAGATTGTTAGTGATCATGATAACTATGAAAGAGAGTTATTTGGGCCATTTTGTCTAAGAGAGAAGGAGTAGGAAGGGTAAAATTACAGTGAATCACATTTACACTTAGCATAAAGAAAGCTTTTCTAATAGAGCTATCCAAAAATGGAATGGACAGTTTTAGGAAGTAGTGATTTTTCCTCATTCAAAATCAGCTGTTGGAGACTGGACAACCCACTTGTCAGGCAGGGATTTTTTAAGAGACACTCTTGTTCAGCTTATGGACTGGATTAGATGACCTTTGAGATCTCTCATTCAACACTGTGATTGTGTGAATCTGTCCCATTTACAATTTTGCATAGCCAAATATATTCTTGACTTCCTGAAATGTCTCAGAAACAAATTTTGGAACTCAGCCAGTTCATATATTGTTGACTGGTTGTGCTGTAAACTTATAGTGAGTTGGGATCATTAAAAATCAAACAAAAAAACAACCTTTATCTAAACTAATGCCATGGGCTATGTTAAATATTAACCATTCAGCCAATATGTGTTGAATATATGCTCAGCATTTTGCTAGGCAAAATCCCCTAACAAATACAGAAATTGTATAAGGCATGTTCCTACTTTGAAAAAACCTTAAGACACAATTAACATAGGATCATATTTGATAGATCCATAATTTCAGCTATGAGGGTACTTTTCTGTTACTTCAGATCGTGTCCTAGCCACAAGTTCTCATCCTTTCCAAATCTTGTCTGTAAATCTCCCTTAAGTCATTCTCCCGGGGGCCTTTTTCTGGATCTCTTTCTGTTATGTAACTGCAACAACCTTGTTAGGTTTATGTATTATGAACATTATTCCAGTTTTATATTTGGGGAGACTGACACTGGCAATAATGGCAATTTGTAAATGTCAGAGACAGGATTTAAACAAGCCCACTACTCTATACAATATGTCCTGAGGACTAGTAATGTCTGAGATTTCTTACAAACCTTTGGTATTTACCCATCTATCAGATATTTTAAGGTTTGATTCCTTAGCACCCTTAACATCATGTCTTCTGTAGTACAGATCTTATCTGTTTATACTTGGTCTAGTCCAGTTACTTTTCCATGAATGATGAACTGTGATATTGAGTGAAAATTTAACTCTGCTGTCATTGATGGAAAAGAAGAGTTTTAGAAATATTTACAGTTGTATTCCATCTTTCATCTGTTCATTGTCCTTCCACTCTCAAGCTTAAATGCCTTCTAGGATGATCTGTTCAGATCTCCTCTTGGGAAGTTTTTTGTAAGTTTGTTTTTCCTTCTTCTTTCTTGCTGTTTTATGAGGTCATATGGTTCATATTCTTCCAACATCTTGTTTTGTAGAATTTTATACATGGGTTTAGATTCTGAACTAATATTTCACTTACCTGCAACTTAGCTCCACTTGGCAAAGAAAGGTTTCTAGGTTTTTTTTGTTCTCTTTATTATGGTAGTTTATTTATATCAGTTATACTTTAGGAACTAGTGATAATCTATTGATGTCTGTAATTTTATCTATTTCTCATTTTTCTGCATCTACAACTTTTAAAAATAGGCAGGTTTTTTTTTATTAGTTTTATATGGTGTTGGTTTTTTCCTTTGTCCTAGAAAGTCAGTGGTATAACCATAAATAGCTGATTTGGAAAAGAACACCATAGCATTAACTAGTTATTAACTTGTCTGTTAAAATATAATCAGTTTCCTTATGTGTTGTCATTTGGTGCTTGCCACAACAAACATATAGGAAATCATTAGTAAATTAATTGTTAAATCATATTTATATACACAGCAAGTATTGTAGATTATAGGACATAATGCAGCCATTGGGATTAAGGGGGAGTTAGCAAAAGCTTCAGAGACACTTTAGTGCTTAATCTGATCTTGGAAGTGAAATAGGATTTAGATTTGTGAAATGGAGAAGGGAATAACATGGGTAAAAACAAATTTTAAAAAATTGCTAAGCATATACTGTGTACAGACTACCACTCAGCCCTGGGGCAGATAAAAAGTTTTGATAATGCATGTTGCTCTGAGGAAGGTATAAAATTTAGATAGCAAATTGTGCCCTTAGCTACTGAAGTACTGTGCATAAGCAGTTTGCATTCATTATGTAATTTGATGCTCAAAACTCCATAAAGTAGTTAGCATAAATATTATCTTCCTTTATAGGGATCAGAAAACTGAAAGCTTAGAGAGATTATGATTTATTCTATACAGGTTCTGATTATGGGGCATCTTGATAGCTAACTAGAGTAGTTTAATCCTGTTGAAGTAGGAAATAGGAAGTTATTAAAGTTTTTTTTATAGGTTTATAATACTATTATAAAGTACTATAAATAACATGTGAAGTGTAGGATATCCTGTTAGTGGTATGATATACTAGTGAACGTTAAATAAATTGTCCTTTCCATTTGCACATGAATGAAAAATGTTTCCTGCACAATTGTTTTAAAATCCATGCTAAGCAGAAGAGATCCTGAGGAATACCTTTTTTGAGGAATGGAATTGTTTGGGAAATAAACTCTAGACTCAGTGCTACTGTCAGATCTTGTTATTTGTTGTTTTCCTTAAACTATCTAAATTTTTTTTATCCTACTTGATGTCGTATTGACAATCCTTTTGTTTTTAATAATACAGTAAGTAGGCATTTATTTCTTCCATCAATTAGGAAGGAATGCTATAGACTTTTGAAAATGAATGTTGTTAAAAGATATTTCATGGTTGACATAACATCATTCTAAATTAGTCTGTTTGGGATTATCTTTTGGTTTCAGTAATAAAGAACTAGACTGTTTAAGCCTGAAACCTTGTTTTCTTCTCTTAAAGTGACCTCATTTATTTGTATGTATTACTACAATCTTAGAGATTTTACTTGTTTTTTATCCATCCTACTGTTGTTGGCATTATGGGATACATACATGAAAATTCTTATGCACACATATCTGTGCATGTATGTAGACCCCATTGTGTAAGAATTTTAATGTGTGAGAGGTCTGGGAACATCCCAGATTTGCAAGACAGCCATTGCCAACACCTTAGAGATAGGCTACAGAAACTTTTTATAGTAGATTGGAATGACACATTTCTTATGGCAAACCCAACAGTATAGCTTTCAGTTCTACAAACACTAAACAGTTTTTAAATTGTCATGGATCATTTATGAGTCTATTCTGAGCATTGGGAAAACCATTATAAATATACCTTCTTAGCACTGTTATAATATTATATCACAGGTAATTGTGAATAATGTCTCTATTGTTATGTTTTTTCACTATAGAAGGTCCAACCTTTATTTCTCTACTCATTCATCCTGATTGTATTATGGGACACTTAATGTTTTATAACTTTACACATAATTCTTTCATACCCAAGTAGATATATAAGTAAGTTCTGGGCTCTAAAATTTTGTCTTTTAGATTTATTTACATTGATTGTCCATCTCAGGGCTATTTGACTCTGATCAAACACACAACAGTTTTTTATTGTTAAATTTTAAAGATTGAATTAAATGCATGAATAGTCTCACAGATTAGAGGATTGAAATTTGTGAAACATTATTGTGCAGGTTGAAAGATCTTTGGCATTTTGCTTGTGTAATCTTAAACATTAGTTAAGAAGTGAAACAATACTGTAAGGTAACTTAGTCAAGAATACAAAGTTTTAAAAATCATATTATTAAAAACTGCAAGTGAATTGAAATTTGGCATAATATAGGCCTGTAAAGTTTAACTAAGCTTTTTAAAGATTAAAAAAAATTCATGATAATTTTTTGTAATCTGATTTTAAATGTTAGGTTTAGTTACCTATATACTTTAAAAAAATAATATTACATCAGTTATTAGAATTTTAAATTTCATCATTTGTAAGCTTTTGTTTAACTTGAACTCCATAGTTATTTTTTCAAATGGTCTTATATTTTGTTATTTTTAAATTTAATGTCATGAAGTTTAAAATGTGGAAATTATAGTTTCACTAGTAAAATCCTTTAAGTTCATAGCTTTTTAATAAAACAAATAACTAATGGAGACTTGGGTTATACTTGATTACGCTGTTACCATTACATTTAAGACTATCCATTTGCTATGATTTTAATGGGAAATACTAACTTTACATGTCATAAATTCAGGAAGAAGAGTTTCCTCCAAGAGATGACTTCAGTGATGCAGATCAGCTTAGAGTGGGCAATGATGGTATCTTCATGCTGGCATTCTTCAGTAAGTTATTTTTCATTTCCAGACCACCTGTACAGATATATATACACACACACACACACACACACACACACACACACACACACACACACACACACACACACACACATATATATATACACATACAGAGACCTAAATAGCAGTTGTAGACAATTTGATTTTAAAAGAACATAATAGAGAGGAATAAGTGTTTCATTTATTTTGGTTATATTTAGGAGATTTAAAAGACAAAAAAGTTAATTATGAAAATATCTGTATTGACCTACATTCTTACTTTCCCTCTCTACAAAATCTTAAATAACCTTAAAAGAGATATTAATAAGGTCACTGATAATAGATGTCAAAAAAGAAACAAACTTTTGAAAATTATATTCTATAGCAGACCACATCTTCGTAGTCTTAACAGTTGATTGAAAGGTACAGAAAAAGCAAGATCCATCTCTTTGTTGACTACAGAAAAAAGTTGATTCTACAAATGAAAATACAGCTCTTAAGACTCTTTTCCAACAATGTCTTTAATGCTTCTATCGATCAGTAAACTTTGAAAAGCATTTAAATGCTTAATCTGTGCTAGGCATTGTGCTATAGGTGCAAAATGGGTCTAGACAAATCAACAGGCTGCTATTAAGTGCTCAATATGTGCCAGACATGTGCTAAGTGCTAAGTGTTTAAAAAAAGGGCACAAACTGTTCCTGCCTTCATACTTTACTTGAGGAGACAGGTTGCAAACAATGATGTATATATGACATATATAACAGTAAATTGAAGGAGGCTTTTGCAGAAGATAGGATTTAAACAGATACTCAAATCCTGCCAAGAGGAGGGGATCCATTCCAGGCTTATGGGACAACCAGTTAAAAAATGCCCAAAGTTGGGAGATGGAGTGTCTTGTATGGGGAAAAGCAAGATGGCTGGATCATAAAGTATGTGGTAGGTATTAGTGTAAGAAGACTGGAAAGGTCGTGAAGGGGCCTGGCTACAGCCCAGGCATGAGGTAATGAGGACCTGGTAATAACTGTGTCAAAGGAGAGAAGACTACTCATTAAAGAAATCTGCAAAGGTAGAAACTACCCTACTTGGCAACAAATTGAAAATGTGGTTTGAGAGTGAGGGGTCTAGAATAGCACATATACCTTGTGAGCCTGGATGACTTTGGGGAGATGGTAATGCCTTTGACACTAAGGGAGGTGCACGAGACCAAAAAAAGAAAGAGGTCCTTGGCCTCACAGAGCTTATGCTAGCATGGGGATCCCCACCCCCAAAGAAGCTTACAATCTAAGGGGGGGAAGACAACACATTAAAGGAAACTTTTCCTAAATTCAAGTGGTGGTCAATTCAAAACCAAGCAGTACAGCTTGGAAATGAAGAGTTGGCTGGGCTTCTGAGCTCTCTTTAAATGGGAGTTTTGACAGTGGTGTCAACTTCAAGTAGAAACAGATCCCTCCAGCTGCATATTGACTTAGAAAATCACAGATTAATTTATGTATGTTATATTGTATCTTTATTTATTTTGTTGAACATTTCCAAATTAAACATTGGGTCCTGCTGCACTGGGAGTTTTGCTGAGTTTGACGTGTCTGCTTTACAGCATAACTTTTATATTGTTGTTAAACTAATGGGTTATAAGTATTCTGAACCTGAGTATTAATTTGATGTTTAACCCCAGCTACTACTTCATCGGACAGTAGAAGCTGGACACTTCCACAGTTCTACTCTTGGATATTTCCATAATTCTACTTCCCATTTCACTCTCCACAGTGACAGTAACAAATATTTTGCTATCTTTTCAAGTCCTCAGTTATACCTGACTGGCCCTTCTCACTTTCTAACAGATGACTATTTTCCTGCTTTCTATAGGAAGCCTCTCCCAATACCCTTTAATTCTTGTACCTTTCCTCTTTTGATTATTTCCAATTTATTAAATATATTTATACATATATATATATATATACGTTTATGCAATTCTTGCTAAGTTCATTATAAATTTGTTTCTAAGTTATTATATCACATGAATTTGTAAGCTTTAAATCTTAGAATCTTTTCCAGAATTTCAGAGTTATACAAAAGCACATGTAAGAGTCAGTTTTTTACTTCTTATTTAAAGGATATTATTGATAATGGCTACAACCTATTGCTTTGGATTGGTAATCTTATGTTGAATATTAAGGGATTTTGTATGTTTCAGGTCGAAAACTAATGCATTCTCTCCTATAGCGCAAATTACTTTTCTAAATAGCTTATTTTTTTAAGAACAGATTAAATACCTCTCTGTTATTGTTTTTTTCACAGTTAACTTCCTTTGGATAATAGGGAGTATAATTATTATTTGCTAGCAATAAAGTAAATTGTTATTTGGTGACAGAATCTCTAAACTTTAGTATTAAATTTTAGTTTCCATTTGTCTTCTCATTTCAGCATTTACTTGGAACAAATTAATCTTTGTATTCTTTCTAACCTTTTTTTTTTTTACTTATGCTCATCATTTATGTTTCAGTAACCTTTAACTAAAAGGCAATGTGATCATTATCATATCAATCTTACTAACTGATAAGTTGATTAAAAGCTTTCTGTCTTGAAACTTTTATTAAACATATCTCAAATGGCTATTTTAGAACTTATTTTCCATATTGGAGAGATGTTCTATCAACATTGACCATTAAATATACAGACCCCCAATTCCTCCTTTTTTCCTGTCTGGTTTATATTTTCCAGGGATTACTTGAGTTTATCTAAAGTTTTCATTAGGTGCAGGTCTATTTGTGATCATTAGCTACCATCTAGTGGCAAATATATAAATTGCAATTTGAGCCATGCCTTCCAGGCCATCTAGTGGTCATTTCTGCATTTGACATTTCTTTATATCTATTATCTACAGACAAGATCTATAAAACAGGTTTATTTAATGTAGTCTGAAATATTTACATTTTAAATTCTTGCTATTATTTTTTACAAAAAAGTTATTATTAAAAGGAAAAGTAGTCATTTTAATAATGGTCACATGGTCAGTGGTCATATCTTATTTCTTGCTTTAATAAGCATCTAACAAATGCTTGTTAAATTGCTTACCTTCCTTATATAAACCATCATCTCTTATACTACAGATAATAAAGGAAAATAAACACCAGTTGAGTGTGTGAGTTTCATCGTTTGGTAGCATAAGTGTGGAAAGGATGTGTGTGTGTGTACATGTGTGTGTTTGTATGTATATATATATATATATATATATTTCATTTAATTGATAATCAGTCATTCAGTCAACTTTTATTAAACACCTAATGTGTCCTAAGCACTAGGAATATAAAGACAAAAGATAGTCCTTGCTTTCAAGGGGGTCTCATTCTAATGGGGAGAAAGTATGAAAATAACTGTGTATGGACAAACTATATACAGGATAAAGTGGATATAATCAGCAGAGGTGAAGACACTAGAATTAAGAGAGATTGGGAGAAGCTCCCTTTAGAAAATAGGATTTTAATGTGTATTTGAAGGAAGCCACGAGGTAGTGATGAGGAAGGACAGCATTCCATGTGCAAGGGACAGCCACTGAAAATGCCTGGAATAGTGAGATGGAACTTGTTTGAAGAACAACAAGGTGGCCAGTGTCACTGGATCCAAGAGTACGTGCGGGCAAGAGGGATGTCAGGTATAAAAAGATTGGGAAAGTAGGAAGGGGCCAGGCTATGAAAGGCTTTGGATGCCAAAGAGAGGATTTTATATTTGGTCCTGGAAATGATAGGGAGTCACTGGAGTTTAATGAATATTGGGGTGACCTGGAAAGACTTTAGTAAGATCACATTGACTGCTGAGTGGAGTTTGAACTGGAGTAGGGAGAAGCTGGTGGGAAGGAGACTAACCAAGAGGCTTGTGCAGTAAACTCTGATAAAGTGATAAAGGCCTGTACTAGAGTGGTGGCAGTATAAAAGGAGAGAAAAGAGCAAATGTGAGAGATGTTATGAAAGTACAGTTGGTAGGCCATGGAAACAGATTGGATATGCAGGGTAAGAGAGTGAGGAGTTGACGATGGCACCTAGTTATGAGCATGGGTCTGGGAGAATGGTGGTCCCCTTGATAGTAAAAAAGAAGTTTGAAAGGAGGGGAGGTTTAGGGAGGAAGACAGTCAGAGATGTCTGAAAGGCAGTTGGAAATGTGAGACTGGAGGTCAACAGAGAGGTTAAGGTTGGATAGGTAGTTTGGAGAATAATCAGTGCAAAGAAGATAATTAAATCCATGAGAACTGATGAAATCACCAAATATACTAGTATACAGAGAAAAGAGAAAAAAATTCCGTTGAGAGCCCTGTGGGACACCCAAGGTAAGGTACCATGACTTGGATGAAGATCCAGCAGAGGAGACCTAAGAGAGTTCAGACAGGTAGGAGGAGAACCAGGGAAGAGTAGTGTTTGGAAAACCTAAAAAGGAGAGAATTATCAAGAAGAAAGTGATTGACACTGTCAAAGGTTAAGAGGAGAAAAGACGTAAAAGCAAAAATAGATCTGAAATACATAAGGAAGGAAACTACATCTTGCTAGTTACCATAGACAGTGAAGCAATATCAATACTAAACATATATGCACCAAACAGCATAGCATCCAGATTCTTAAAGGAGAAATTATGAGTTACAGGAAGAAATGGACAGCAAAACTCTACTAATGGGGGACCTCAATTATCCCCTTTTAGAACCTGACAAATCCAACCAAAAAATAAACAAGAAAGAAACTAAAGAGGTAAGTAAATATATTAGAAAAGTTAGCTATGACATACCTTTGGAGAAAACTGAATGGGAACAGAAAGAAATAGACCTTTTTCTCAGCAGCAGATGACACGTATACAAAAAACTGACCATGTATTAGGGCATAAAAACCTCAAAATCAAACGTAGAAAGGCAGAAATATTAAATGTGTTCTTTTTATATCTTAATGCAACAAAAATTGCATTCAACAAAGGGCAGTGGAAAGAGATTAAAAATTAATTAGCAACTAAATAGTCTAATCCTAAAGAATAAGTGGGTCAAAGAACAAATCATAGAAACAAT